CATGAAGGCTTTGCAAACTTTATACAGGAAAAATGGACCAATATGTCAGTAAGTGGCTGGGGATGCTACAAATTAAAAGAAAAATTCAAGAAGCTAAAGGTTGAACTGAAAAGATGGAACAAAGAGGTTTTCGGAGCTATTGACAGACACATAGAAAGGGCAAAGGAAGTAATCAAAGCTATTGATGAAAAAGGGGAAACGAGCATTCTAAATGACACAGAGATAAAAAGAAGACAGGAGGCATTCCAACGGCTATGTGAATGGAATAACGCAAGAGATAGCATGCTTTACCAGAAATCAAGAGAAAAATGGCTAAAGGAGGGGGATGCAAACAGCAGGTATTTTCACTCATGTGTGGTGCAAAGAAGAAAGCACAATGGAATTGAAGGAGTACAAATAAATGGGGTATGGGTTGAAGAAGTGTAGGAGGTCAAAAGGCTCATCAAGGACTACTTCAAGAAGAAATTTGAGGAAGAAAGATGGGAGAGACTAGAATTTGTGCTAGACAGTTTCAGGAGGTTATCAATTGAAGAAATCAAATCTCTGGAAGCAGCATTTACAGAGCAGGAAATCCAAGAAGCAGTGTGGGGGTGCAACGGTAGTAAAAGCCCAGGACCGGATGGCTTCAATTTCAATTTTCTGAAGAAAATGTGGCCAATACTGAAGAAGGATCTATACGAATGCATGGCAGAATTTCACATGAATGGGAAGTTAGCTAAAGGAAGTAATGCATCATTTATTGTCTTGGTCCCTAAGAAGGAGAATCCTCAATGCTTGGGAGAGTATAGACCAATCTCTCTCATTGGTTGCATATACAAAATCATCTCCAAAATCCTAGCTAACAGATTGAGAAAAGTAATGTCTTCCCTAATTGGTCCCCAACAATCTGCATTCATAGAAGGAAGACAGATCACAGACGGAATAATTATTTTCAATGAGATGGTACACGAAGCCAAGAGCAGCAAAAAGCCAGTATTGATCTTCAAAGCAGATTTTGAAAAGGCTTATGATAGTATCAATTGGAAGTTCTTGGACAGTATGATGAGTAAATTTGGGTTTAGCCACAAGTGGAGAACATGGATCAGGGAGTGCATATCATCAGCTATAGTTTCAATCCTGGTTAATGGGAGCCCTACAGAAGAATTTCAAATGGAAAAGGGACTACGACAAGGGGATCCTTTAGCCCCATTTCTATTCCTCATGATAGCCGAAGCTCTAAATGGCCTTATGTTGAAGGCAGCGGAGGAGAATTTGTTCCAGGGGGTGGAGATTGGCAGAAGCGGCCTTAAACTCACGCATTTACAATACGCAGATGATTCTATCTTCTTTTGCGAAGCAAATGAGCAAAATGTTATGGTCCTAAAGAGCATCTTAAGAAGCTTTGAAATGATCTCTGGCCTCAAAGTTAATTTCTTCAAAAGCTCCCTAGTAGGACTCAATGTTGAAAAGGTCAGCCTTGAAGCTTATGCAGAGAAATTGAATTGTGCCACTGGCAAGTTTCCTTCTAAATATCTGGGGGTGCTGATTGGTTCAAATCCGAGAAGAATGTCTACTTGGGCCCCGGTGATTGACATCATGAAGAGGAGACTTTCCAACTGGAAGAGGGACTCGCTATCCTTTGGTGGACGTATAATTCTTCTAAATTCTGTCCTCTCGAGCATCCCGGTGTACTACTTATTAACCCTAAAAGCCCCAAAACAAGTAATTCTTTTGCTAACTAAATTACAAAGAAATTTCTTATGGGGGGGGGGATGAGAATAGTAGAAAGACGGCTTGGGTAAAATGGGAGACAATCTGTAATAGGAAGTCACAAGGGGGCCTCGGAGTTAAGGACCTTCAAAAGTTTAATATAGCCTTATTAGGGAAATGGAGATGGAGATTTTTAGTAGAAAAAGAGGCACTGTGGAAACAGGTGTTGGAGGCTAAGTATAAAATAGACAAAAGGGAGATGTGGGAAGCAAATAAATGGGATAGGCTAGGATCGGCATGGTGGAGAGACCTGCGGAAGATAGAATATGAAGTAGATGGAAAGAGAGGTTGGTTCAAGGAAGGGGTAGGAAAAATAGTAGGAGAAGGGAAAGAAACACTGTTCTGGCATGAGGTCTGGGCGGGAGATATGCCGCTAAAAGAGAAATTTAACAGATTATTCCGATTGTCCAAGGAAAAATATGTTTGTATTGCAAATATGGGAGAATGGAGAAATGGGGAATTGACGTGGAACTGGAAGTGGAGAAGGAGTCTCTTTACATGGGAAACTGATATGCTACAAGATCTCCTTTCAATAGTACAAGGGACAAAGCTAAAACAGGGTGAGGACGACTGCTATGTGTGGAATCATGACCCAACAGGCAAGTACTCAGTGAGATCGGCATACAACTTATTAAACTAGAAACAAGATGATAGACCAGACCACAAATTCAAGCTAATTTGGGATAGCAAAACACCGTTGAAGATATCAGCCTTTGCATGGAAAGCCTTACAAAACAGGATCCCAACCAAAGAAAATCTTCTAAAAAGAGGCATGATTGAAGAGACAATAGGAACAAAATGCACTCTATGTGGAGAAAAGATCGAGACAACATCACACATACTTTTCTCCTGTTCAGTCTCATGGAAAGTATGGTGTCTTTGCTACGATTGGTGGGGCATCAAGACAGCCTCACAAGAAGATGGATGGAATCACCTAAGGCAACATATGGGCCTCATAAGTAGGGGAAGAAAAAAGCAAGCCTGGTCAACAATCTGGTTCTTCACAGTGTGGTCTATATGGTTGTGGAGAAATGCATTGACTTTCAAGGGAGAAACACAACGTACCGAACAAGTTATTGAACTCATCAAAGTCCACTCCTACTCATGGATCAAAGCAAGATTGAACCCAGACCTACCCCAATCAATCTGGTTTAACAACCCAAAGGAAGCCTGCAAGATACAGGTACAGTAATCTTCTTTTGTGTAGGGATATGGCCCTGTGACCGCAAATCCTTCCTTTTGTTCTATCTATAATTATGTTATAATGGGTTGAGGTACCCCTTGTACCTCCAAAATAAAATAAAAAATTTTTTGCTGATTAAAAAAAAAAAAAAAAGTTATCGATATTGACTCCTTTGTAGAAAGTGAATAGCATGGCGCCACCGATCCACACTGTCGAGCCAGTCACCTCTGATAACCCTTCCGGCGTTCCTAGGTTCAGTTTCTCCATCCTGCAAGTTAGTTACTACAAACAGTACATATATAATAGGTTAAATCTTCAATTTGGTCCCTAAATTATTGTATAGATATTTGATTTGCTCTCTAAACTAAAAAAATCCTTAATTTGGTCCCTGAACTATTATACAGATCTTTAATTTGGTTATTACTGTTTACCAATTTGCCTCAAGTTAGTCTTTCTATACAAAAACAACTGACATGTTTCGTTATTAATGTGACACGTGATTGTTAAGTTACTGTTTTTTGTTGTTAAGTTACTGTTTTTCGCTGTTAAATACTAGACATGTCAATTTTTTTTTGTATGGAAGGACCAACTTGAGGTAAATTGGTAAATAATAAGGATCAAATCAGGGGTCCGTACAATAGTTCAAAGACCAAATCAAAGATTTTTTTAGTTTAGGGATCAAATCAAGGATCAAATCAGGGATCCGTATAATAATTCAAAAACCAAATTAGAGATTTAACCTATATAATATGTTGTTTTAAAGTCAAGTAGTTATTGGATCAGATAGAGGAACCCTCTCCATTATTAAGGAGTTTCTCTTTAATTTAATAATTAATGTATAACTTCACGGGTTAAGTTTTTTTTAGTAAGGAAGTATTGTTTAATAAATTAAATTTAAAATTCAAGTTTTAGAATTTATACTCAAGAAAATTAGTTCTATTTAATGCACTAAATAAATATGGGGAGTGTATTTTTAAAATTATTTAGAGAAAAATTCATTTTAAAATACATAAAAATTAGCTCCCAAACACTCTATTAGTAAATATTAAAAATAAAAAATTCAATAATTACTATAGGTTTAAGCCGAAGAAATTAGAGTAGGGGGGAAGGGAATGAAAGGATAATTGTATCTTTCCATTCCCCTCCCCTCACCCACTCTCATTTGGCTCATTTGAGTAAGTAGTCGAATTAAAAGTAAAAAATAAAGCAAGCGGGGCTTGCTTTCTCATCACTTCCCCCTCGATAAATCTTTTAACAACTAAATAAATGAACATTTTTTTCTTCCCCTTCATTTCTTTCTATCTAAATATATTATTAATGTGTAACAATCTCATGGAGTCCACACTTTAAAACAATTTTTAATAATATATACTTTATAAGTAAATAAATAAGGAAAAAGGACACAAGTGAAAATCATTACAATTTTGTGTTTAAAATATTAAGATTATTAGTTAAATTATTCAAACACTTTTAATAAAAAAGTATTTTACAATACAAATTGCAGAAAACAAGCAAATATTAATTATTGGGTTAGAGAGGGGCTTCTTAATAATAAAGAGGGTCCTTCCATCCAATGGCTACTGTTCATTAGTAGTCCTAACATCTAAATGTAAGAAAGATTTATTAGTAAAAGGTAAAAATTAAGACCTTTTTTTTCTTCTTTTTCCTTTT